TGTCTCTCTCTCTCTCTCTCTCTCTCTCTACCCCATGCCTCCTCACATTCTGTCTCTGTCTCTCTCTCAAAAATAAACGTTAAAAAATTTTTTTTAATTAAAAAGTTTTAATTAAATTTAATTAAAATTTAATTAATTTTTTTTATTTTATTTAAAAAATAAAAGAGACTTCAATGACCCCATTCCAAACAGACAGGTGAAGGAAGGGTGGATGGATCATCAGAACAAAGGTCAGCAAACTAAGGCCACTGGGCCAACCTAGCCCTCCATCCACTGCTGTAGATCAAGTTTTATTAGCACTCAGCCACATTCATTCACCTGTCCATCATCTATGGCTGCTTCTACCCTGAAATGCCTCAAATATTTACTATCTGACCCTTCACCGGGACAGTTTGCCAACGCCTGATATAGAGAGATGCACCCAGATCAAAAGATTCTTCTGAAATCAGCCTTAATTGAAACTCAACATACCTTATAAAACTATTCTGAAAAATTTTAGTGAGTCAAGTATAAATTTAAAAAATGACTTCGATGTTATTTTTGAACAGACTACGTGGCATCTTAATTCACATGCAACATAAACCCTCTTACATCCTATGCTTTCAACTGTGTTCCAAAACACAACAAAACACCTGCATGGTCGCCTGGCTCAGGTGCAGAGCTCTGAAAAAGGACTCAAATTCTATTACTGGTTTTTGCTTCATTTTGTGTTGCTTTTCGATGGCTGAGATGTTTTCCTGTTTGCCTTTCCTGTGACTTGGGGCATTTAGACCTGAATTTAAATTCTTTCTGTGACTGTATCATTTAATATTATTTCTAAATATGTTTATCTGGTTAAAGAAGTCCCTAAACCAATGCCTTTCAGCAAATTTTTTTTTTTTTTTTTTTTGGAAAATACATACTTAACAAGGACTTGTTTCCTTCCAATACTGCCCTCACCCACATTCCCACCCAGAAGTACTGATTTCTGGCTCAGTTCCACTTCTAGTCTCTTCCTTCAGTATTCTGTCACAGCCTACTCTCATTCTGGCAATCACATAAATTAGTTTAAACCTGTGTATTTATCCTAACTCTTCCTTCAGCGGTTAAGGTCTTCACCGAGCATTCTAGTCGGTTTCTGTGTTTCCTGCCCGTTTTCCCAAACACAACATTTCCATTCGAGAGCTACGTCTCTGACTTTATTCTTGGCAACTGATAATATATTACTGAAGCAGTTTTTGCAGGAAAGGTCTTTAAGTGTTACATATTCTGAGGATTTCCCGAGTAGAGATTTTTTTTTTTCTCTATTACCGGATTTGAAGGAAAAAAAAAATGCATCAGTATGAACGCCAATTGTAATCACAGTCTTGACCAACTAAAGCTTTGATAAATTCGTCAGCTGCCAATTTTGCAGGCAAGTCAAGTCTACATAATAAATGAAAGAGGACAATGCAGCTGGATCCTGACAGAGGGACATCGCACACATTCGGGGCTGACGGTTTAGGCTGGTGTCTGGCTTTGCCGGGGACAGTTCTTGCCCAGCAACCTAAGACCACACTGTCCCCCAGCTGAGGCCTCTCCCCTCTTCTGGGGTTCCCTAAAAATGTTATTTTCTTTCCGGTTGCCATCCACGTGGGTTCCTGGTTGCCTAACCTAGAAGAAGAAGTAGGGTAGCACCTGGTTCCCAGCTGCCGACCAGGCCCTCAGCTGTGCGAGCGGTTCTAAGGGGCTCAGAAAACTGTAACGTGGTTGCATCCACTCCGGCACATTCCTTGAGCACCTTAGCTTCCGGACCGCCTTCAGGTTGCATCCCCAAGTTGTATCATCTGGTTGGCTTGCTCTATCTTCTTTTGGACCATTAGCCTCGGGTCTGCCTACTTTCAGAGTCCCGTGTCCACAAGCGTGTGGGGGGGTGGGGGGAGGGGTTGCAGGGGGCTTCACGGCAACACAGACGAACAGAGACGACGGTAAGTAGTCCCCCTAACGCTCTTTTACTTAGCACCCCTTGCAGTTCACAAAACTACTTCTCACGCATGGCTCCTCGTTAATTTCGCCTCCTCGAAACTATCACGGAAGATATAATCTTGTTCTTTTTAACAAATGAAGATATAGGGATTCGTGGGGGAGGCAACTTCCCAAAAGCCCACCCACCAGCAAGTGAGGGAGGCCGCAGCACGCGGGTCCCAGGGCCGCTCCACTTCCTGCCCGGCCCAGCAACAGCAAATGAGGACACGAACATCGACCTTCTATCCCACCTTAGCACAGCAACAGATGAAATCCTTCTCGTGAATCTCATCTCTGAGATACCCCGCTCTCCACATGTAAACTGCAAATACGCTGTCTGGGATAGCCTTGGCCATGGGGACAGAGTCCATGACAGGCGACAGCAATAACACTCAGCCACTGAGTGAAGGGCGCACCAAACAGCCAGCGTGCTTGCTGCTGCCCTGGAACATTCTCTCTCTTTCCAGGACAGGCAGAAGGGAGTATGCGCACTGGCTTGGCAGAACGAAGGGGGCTACTGCCTGCGGGAATTTGATACAGACAAATTGTGAATTCTTCAAAAGCTTTCTGGTGCACTAAAACTTCACCAACTACGATCTCTTACTGCACGGCAAACCAGGCAGCTGCCTAGACGGAGCGGCATCGCCTGACCCCCACCATAGCTTCAGGAGGAAAGCAGCCAGCTCTTATCACGCGCTCCAGCGGCTGGTGCCTTTGTGACCCTTTAACAGCGACACTGACCTCTACCGACTGTTTCAGCAGGTTGCATGGGTCAAGGATGACCCTTAGTCACTTATGAAGAATGGTGTGGGGGGTAGGGAGGGAGGGTCCAGGCATCATGACTAACCTGAAACCCACCACATAAATCCCTTTTGTGCTTACGAAGGCCTGGATTTTCAGTTCTAATACTTGGCTGAAAATAATACTTGGAATCTGGTTTCTAAAACAAGTGTAGCTTTTGGAAGAAAATCGTAAAAATATAAAAGGTAAATTACCTGTTAATACGCTGATCACCTTTCTCAGGCATGGATATTGCCAAATGCTACGTGCCCTGAGCACAGACACAACCCACTTGCCACCCCCCCCCTTTTTTTTTTTTGCTAGATGTAATAAGCAGCCTTATAATCAAGTCTGTCACATTACTCTGGATTGTATCTTATTGACAGGGCCTCAAATGAATCATCTCATATGGAACACTGTCTGCCTCACGCACATTTATCTGAGACCTTACCATCAACCAATCTCTAAAATCGAACACCGAATAAATAATAGAAATGAGGTAATAAAATTCAAACTAGAACAATTATTTTTGATAAACAGTTTGGCAAATTTTAATTTTTTTTAATGTTTATTTATCTCTGAGAGAGAGAGAGAGAGAGAGAGAGGGAGGGAGGGAGGAAGGGAATGTGTGCAAGCCAGAGTGTGAGCAGGGGAGGGACAGAGAGAGGGAGACACAGAATCCAAAGCAGGCTCCAGGCTCCGAGCTGTCAGCACAGAGCCGGACATGGGGCTTGAACCCACAAACTGCAAGATCGTGACCTGAGCCCAACCAACTGAGCCACTAGGTGCCCTGACAGTTCTGCAATTTGATCAAACTTCTAGAAAATGCAAGTCAATCAATCCTAAGTAACCAGAGCCCTGTCCCCCTGGGCGAGACGCCAAGCTGATGGCCTAAGGAAACGTACACGGACAGGCGGGAGCCCAAGCAAAACCAGAAGATGCCAGAGATAACGTGACCGTGACAGAATATAAATTGAAACCTTTTTTTTTTTTTTTAAAGCCTCAGACATAGAAAATTGATTTTAAATCTCACCTGAGATTACTGGTTTGATAATCATCTCTCCATTTTGGAAACTAATCCATAAAATCATGTGTTCAAGATCTCGCCAGGCAACTCAGAGGTGAGCGCGGACAGCCTGTCCCACCCTGGTGCCTGGAACAGCAGGCTGATGCCAGTCTTCTCATCTGACCATCCCTTGTGTCAGAGCAGAATGAACCGTGAAGGTACTGGATTCTAGAAAATCTCAAACCCAACTCGAGGTAGCAAGGCGGCAGGAATCGAGTGACGCCACGCTTGTGGTTTCCGAGCGGTTGGTGCTGGAACCCCCAGCCGCTGCAAATGCCAGGCCAGGACCTTCTAAGCTACTGCACATCTAAGAGCTTCCTCATCTGACATCTGTGTTCTGAAAACACAAGAGAACTTAGATGGCAGCAAAAAAAAAAAAAAAAAAAAAAAAAAAAAATCAGTATGAAGGAAGGTGAGTCATGGAGGAGGAGGGATGCATTCATTGGAGGCTGAATAAACAAAAAAGGGAGAAGGAGGCGTGACAACAAACAGAAGAATGGAGAGGACAAAAGACAGGTCGGGGGCGCCTTGAAAACCACGCCTTCGGTTTTCTCCTGTCTCCCACATTAGTGACGAATATATATTTTTTGTTACCTGGTCCTTCGTGTTATTATCAAGAATAGCAGGAGACTGATCTGCGAAATGAATAATCCAAGCTTTCCTCTGGGCAGTTAGAGGCCGGTATTTGAGGGGGTGAAGTGTTCCCAGCAGGGTCCCCCAAAACCTCTCCCCCCTCAGCGCCTCGCCCCTATCACAGTGGGACTAAATCATCTCTGAGCTGACACTACAGAGGAAATTGCAAAATGACTCACAACTTCTCAGAACTTTTCCAACAAGCAAAAGCAGCTACCGTGTGGGGCTGGGACATTATCAAAAGGTGAGAATCTGCTGTGAGTAACAAAGGCGCGAAAAGAAAGCACAGAGACTCAGACACATTTGCGTTCGTGCAGCACAAGCGAGGTCCTCACCGGACTACAGCGTCTCACACACAAGAAACGTAACGAAGGCATAACAGGACGTCTCAGGCCTCTCACCAATGACTGACATGTGGGAATGCCTTTCTGGAGGAGATTCCAACAAATGACTAAACAAGTAGGTGACGTTATGCCACCCCCCATTCTTGGTAAATACTGAAGGTAAGACAGGTGAGCCTCGTGGTGCCCCAAGAATGGGCAGCCAAAATTAGGTAACTGTGGCTCTTATTCCTTCCAAAGACCAGGAAAGCGGTGAGCAGCATGCCTTCGCAGGCTGGCTGACGTGATGGGGTCAAGGTGAAGTTCCTTCGGTGCCCTTGGGGAAACCACGGGATCCTCTGCTGTCTGATCATGCCCTGAACTAGGCATGTAACCACCCCTCTGTTCCCACAAACAGCTGTTGATTTTTTACTAAAGCGAGTTCCACAAAATGTTGGGGTGGGGGTCAAGATCTAAATTTATGCCTCCCCACACAAACAAAAAATCACATTTTTTCACTAATTACAAAAAAACGAACTCCTGAAATGTTAGAACACCAGCACATAATGTTGCGATTGGTATTCACCACTGTAGGGATGTCTAACCAGCACATTCAATACCCTCCTTGGTCTCAGCCTCACAGTTTTTGCCACCTGGGGTGGGGTTGTTATTATGTAATGTTCCTCAAGGTCTCTCAGCACAGAGATAACGAGGCATTAATATTGCCAAGCCTACCTCACCAACCAGACCTGAAGATAAAGACAGAGTTCAAAATGCCACTTGACTAAAGAAACACAGTGCTTTTCATTCTGTAACTACCTGATAATTAAGTCTGTAATGTTAATGATGTTGAGTCAAGACAGAAGCTAGATTACTCAGAGACTCACCAAAGTCAGAATCGTGAACCTAGAGCCCACAGAGTCCTAAGGGGGGAAATCTGTGGACGAGAGTCGTAAGATGAGCGAACTCCCCAGAAGTGCACACGGGTGGCTTCTCAAGGACATGAGCGATTTCCTGAGGGTCCATCACTTTTGTCAGCTGCTCAATGATCCGCCCCAAGTAATTTTTCTCAACCAGGTTAAGAGAGGAAAAACGTAGAGTGCACGTGGGAATAAAGCCCCTAACCATCCTCAACGTTACTTTCCGTTACTTTAAACCTCCAGACATCTTACAGGTTTTAACTTGAGTAACTGCGAAAAGGACAATATAATTAACCAGTGTTAATTCTAACTGGGTTCTTCCAGAATCTAGTTTTCTTTTAAGCATCTCTCTGTGTTGATGAGGAGAAAAGGCTGTATCAAGCAAAAGACTGCTTTAGATCAGGTGCTGAGGCAGAAAGACAGACAGAGCCAGGATGGGCCTCCACAGCTGGTAGACCTACCCGCCAGTGCACAAATGTAAGAAGTCTGATGACCTCTCCAAGGAAAAAGGATTGCCACGTGAGACTTGGGGCCAGTCCCACGTGCTCTTCTTCTGAGACCAGCCAAGTCCAGAGGGCCTCCCCTGAGAACATGCAGGAGTCTGCAAATGGCATTGACTGAAAGTGGGGTTTGGCCTGAGACTCTCTGCTCAGACTCCCTGCTTTCTTCTCCTCCAAAATGAGGGATAAAGGGCGCCTGGGTGGCTCAGCAGTCAAGCGTCTGATTCTTGATTTTGGCTCAGGTCATGATCTCACAGTTCGTGAGTTTGAGCCCTGCATCAGGGTCTGTGCTGACAATGTGGAGCCTGCTGGGGATTCTCTCTCTCCCTCTCTCTCTCTGCCCCTACCCTGCGTGCTTGCTCACTCTCTCAAAACAAATAAACAAACTTAAAAAGGGGGGAGATTATTCTGAAATTATTCTGTCTCCAATCCAGGAAGCCTAGAAAGAAAAGATGGAGAAACGGACGGCTGAACACCATGGAGGCAGAGGATGAAGGCAAAGGAACGGGACAGCCTGTCCTCCGTGACCATATCCAAGAGCGTATGACCCGCTCTGCAACCACCATGGGCCACAGGGAACCTGCCACCCACCGCAGTCTTGGCAGGCCAGGCCCAAGGGGAGGTTCCCAGGAGCACGGCTGCGGGTCCCTTTCCGCCACCCAAGATACAGGGAGCAGGCCGGCTGCTCTTTGGACACGGGCCTTTGCTTGCCTCGGAAAGGTCGAACACACCCTCTTACGGTCTCCTCTCGGAGAGGATGGGGGCAAACTCCCAGCCCCCGCTGTTTAAGGAGAGGAAGGGCAGGGAGAGGTCTGCACCAGAAACCAACGTGGCGAGCCAGGGTCATGTCTGGAGCACGCAAGCCCACGAGGGGGCCTGCGGCTCTGGGGAGTCTTGAGGCACCTTCCTGTGAGTCACGGACCCGGCAGCGTGAGGAAGGGGTGTAATTATCGCTTCAGCACTGGGGCTGCTTCCGCCGCCAGTTCATTCCAGAGCCACTTCTACCCGACCAGCCCACCCGCCCGCGGGCTGATATTCACTGCGGCGTGGGCGTGGCCTCCAAGCAACTTCCTCCTTCTTCCTTCCTCCCTGTGCGACTCCCAGGGTGACTCCCCGGGACAACGCTTTCTTGCTCCCATAAGACCGGGACGAAAGGTGAAGTCTGGAGGAGAATGAGGAAGCAGGGGCCAGAGAGAGGCAGGAAGGAAAGGGCTGGGGGTGGGAGGTGGTAAACAGGAAGAGGAAGGAAGGAAGGAAGAGTCTGGAAGTGAAACCAGTCACATTAACGAGAAGGGAAGGGGACGACAGGGACTAAACAGCCTCACTGGAGTCAGGTGCCGTTGTGCCCACAGCACAGATGCCGGGACAGAAGAGCAAGAGGGGCGGGGCCAGCCCCAGGCCAACCTCCAGAGAGAGCTAACATCCTACAGCCTGGCTTCCAGACCAGCTTCCTGGGTTCCACACGGCCTGCTGCCTGAACGAACGTACTCTAGGCCAACACAGGGCACGCAAGTATGGCTCCCTGTGGCACCCACACCCCGGCCAAGCCTCACCCGACAGGCAGCCTCGGCCCCTGAGCTTCCAGAGTCTCCCCGGCAAAGGCCCAGACAGCCGAGGGCTCATCGGACGCCACCAGGTTGTTGGCTCCAGTGAGCCCACCGCTCTGCCGATGGCAACGGCCGCCTTCCCACTTCCCAGTTTGCTGGCTGGTGCCCAGCGACACACTGGCCCAGCACAAACCCCTTTAGGACCCACCCACCGCCTCCCCCGGCCATGATGGCAGCGTGGCAGCTTGTGGCAGAGAGTGGAGAGAAGTCAGCACCAGCAAGATTTCTCCCCACTGCCTACTTGTTGACCCCACTGTTTGTCCTGTGACCCCCTGGACGAGCTCTCCCGGCCCCAACTGCCTGCCATGAAGCCACTGGGTCAGAGGGTTCACTTCTGGTTCTCGATGCCACCCCACTTCCGGCTGCCGGCCTCCCACTGTCAGCCTCCCTGCACCCTGAGCTGGGACTGGATTTTCTTTCTTTCTTCCTCTCCCTCTCTCCCTCTCGCATCCAACACTGAGGGTGACATCTCTAACGGCTGAATAGGGCACATAAATGATCCCTGGCAACAAAGACGACAGGGCTCTTGTGTGTTTCATGCGGCAGGGATGTCCCTTCCCGCCACACCCAGGGAAAGAGTTGGCATCTTCATGACGTGTCAGCCCTAATGATCAGAACAGACCAAGAGCAGGGTGCTAATACCCTGGAGCTAGAAAGACAGTCAACAAAAAAAAGCCAATGGGTGCTAGAGAGATCAAATGGCCTTTTAGACTCCCAAGAAAACTACGCATAGTTGCTTCCAACAAATCCACCAAGTTGCCACCAAGTCCCCACCAAATGGATGTATGGTGTCAGAAACGCAGAACAGTGTGTTTGAGAGCTGGGCAGAAAACTCAGCTCAACTTGACCCTTTTTAGCCTGTACCCTTGGCACCTCTCTATGCCCTGAAGAGACACCTCTCCTCCAAAAGGCCCAAGTGTGTAAGACCTCCTGGACGGGCCGTACCTCGGGCTTCACTTAGCCTCGCGGTATTCACGGCCCACTCCCGCTGAAGAGAAAGGCAGACCTAACATATACTATTTTGTTTAATCATTTGAAGCCTAGCACTCTGAGTAAGAAACACCAGCTCAGAGGTGGGCGGGCTTCGTCTTTGTGCAAGTGACAGACAGCTAAGAGGACCCAGCTGCCAAGC